CAGCTTTTGCTAGACGTCTGGCTAAGGTGAGTTGGATAAATCGTACTCAAAGCAGCTTCACGGGGTTCAATCTTGGCATAGTTGCCTTTCTACATCGAGCATATTCGATGATGACCCTTGTCCAGATGACAAGGTTTGGGCTGGGGAATTGGCTATTCATACTCAGGTGACATTTTCCGCCACCAAAATGACAAGTCGTGGATTATGGGGTCGACAAAGGTGTCAGATATGTCCGATTCGGTTCTGAATGGTACCCATCTTCGCCGAGGAAAGAATGAGCATCTGACAAATCGTCTCTCGATCAATCACGGCAAAGATCTATAAAGATGTCCACAAAGGAGGATACCTGACAGAGCAATCACTGAGTTTTCTCTCTCATACCATTCCCAGTTTCTCAAAAATAACAACCATGACCAATCATCAAACCTCACGTCCCAAGACCATGCGCGCCGTGGTCTGGGAAGGCAAACCCTATGAGATGGTTGTCAAAGCAGACATCCCACTCCCGCGTCTCAAGGAGCCCGAAGACGCCATCGTTCGCATCACCACATCTGCTATCTGCGGCACTGACCTTCACATCTACCATGGCATCATGTCCAGCGCCGAAGTGCCCTATCCCGTAGGCCACGAGGCTATGGGAATTGTCCAGGAAGTAGGGGATGCTGTCGACAATCTGCAAGTCGGTGATCGCGTTGTCGTCTTTGGTCTTCCCGAAGACGGTGTCATCGACACTGACAACCAGATCTTCCCTCAGCTTGGTGGATTCGGTCTTGGCAAAGACTTTGGCGATCTAGGTGGTCTCCAAGGTGAGTATCTGCGCCGCTAAATACTACAAAGATATAGAATGAAGCTAACCTTAATTCCAGCCGAGTACGTCCGCGTGCCCTTCGCTGACAGCTCCCTCATCAAGATTCCTAAGAAGCTCTCCGACAAGGAGTGGCTCTTCCTCAGCGACATCTTCCCCACCGCATGGGAAGGGCTGAACTGGTCGGGCTTCCAGCCAGGCGACTCCGTGGCTGTCTTTGGTGGCGGTCCTGTGGGCCTGCTCTGCGCCTATAGCGCCGTCATTCGCGGTGCTAGCCTAGTCTACGTCGTAGACCACATTCCACAGCGCCTGGCCAAAGCCGCCAGCATCGGTGCCGTTCCCATCAACTTTACCAAGGGCGGTGCCTCGGCTTCGGAGCAGATCTTGGCCCTCCATCCCGGCGGCGTGAACCGCAGCGTCGACTGCTGCGGGCAGGAGTGTGTCAATGCCGAGCTGAAGCCGCAGCAAGATTACATCCTGCGTGAAACCATCGCCGTCACCTCTGTTGGCGGCGGGATCGGGATACCTAGCGTCTACTGGGCCCAGGAGAAGAGCGCGGGCGCACCTAATGCAGATAAGATGAAGAAGAACCTCAGTCTGCCAATGAGTGACTTTTGGATCAAGGCGCTGACGATGAAGAGTGGCATCGTTCAGGGGCAGCCGACGTTTGCTGCACTGGTGAAGCTGGTCGAGAGCGGACGGGCTAGACCTGGTTTCATTGCTACGGCAGAGTACGACCTCGATGACGCTCCCAAGGCGTATAAGAGGTTTGATAAGAAGCTCGAAGTCAAAGTTTTGTTCCGTGGCGCTGGCAAGGAGGGGAGGGACGACTATGAATGGGATGAGGAGGTGGAGTTGAAGAATCAGGGGGGCACTGAAATGCGGTAAGCTTTATACCTGCGCTATGTTGAAACATGATACTCACGAAATGACAGGTCATCTGGAAGAGCCAAGAGAGCAAGATTGCACTAGGATGAGCTCTTCTCTGGCGACGTAAGCTTGATGGAAGCTGGAATCTTCTCCATAAATAATGGTTGTCATTTTCAATGAATCGCAACGGTCCGCTGACTCCAACCTGAACGTCAAATTTCCCTCATACCTCTTTGCTGACCCTGAGACTTGTCCTATGGTATTCATGTTATAAATCCATACACGGTTCATCCAACTCGAGACCAGAGTATTTCACATTGTCAAAGACTTTTTGCGCTACTTCAACATCAGCACACTGGTACCATGCTCTGTTTACTCGCCCACTCATTCTTAGCAATGCTGGAGTACGCCCGGAAGAGTTATGACCTGTGTTTTACTCTCTTTTTGCCCCCATGTCTATTCGTTCCGAGTTTCCGATTGGCACAGGAGCACTGATGGTGGACATGGCCCGCTATTCTTCATTGAAGAATCATGATGACCGGGGAATCGATGAAATTCGCGGATGAATTCCCCATGATCAAACGGGGTAAATAAACTTGTCCTCGATGCGAATTGAGTCTCTCTCCATCTCCCCCTCTTTGTGGACCTAAATCAATGTCGTCATCAGTTTTTGCGTTTCAAGTCCCTCGTGTGGGTATGCCGAGGCTACGGCCATGCAGCCTCCATATCTGGGAACCTGATAACGCTATTAGTATAGAGCCAGTCAGAGATTACGAGGTCAACTTCGGCGCATGTTGTGATGTTGATTGAAGAATAATTTGAACCGTGAAGGGACTTGCCTATCAGAATGCTCGGGGGCTCTGCTGACGGTGCAGTCATTGTAGGCATATTGTTGAAGGGCCGTCGAACAGGATTGCGACAAAATTCTGGAGAGACGCTTCGATTGCCGTTGGTGATGGAGCTGGTTCCGTGCTTCTGGAGCGTCGTGTAGCGGAAGTCGATGATCGTAGAGTCCAAGGTCAAGTGGTTTGAAGGAGGGGAAGAGCGTGCTAGTGGAGTGATTGGTGATGGACTTGAGTGGCAGTATTCGTTTTGGCGAGACCAGTATAAGCGATAATCATGCCCTAGATTTGCTGCTTCGCCTAATTCAAAATTCCGCCGTCACGGGTGTTAGACCGAATGAGGACCTGTACCCAGAACCCGGCGCAGAGGAGGATCAAGGCGCTGCACCGGAGGCCAAAGGCAATACCAGATTTAAGGTCGCCTCCCACCCCCCTTACACCCCTTGTTGGTTCGAAGCGTGTTCGTGTGTTGATCGAGGGTTCTTCACAGCGACAATATTCTTTGACGCTGGGCGATGGATTTGAGATTGCCGCGTGTCGCTAATGAAGAGGACATGAGCTTTGGTGAAGACATGACCCGAATCCCAGCGGTACGCTTTCGGACACGCCCCACTTCATCCACGATAAAAAGAGAATAATTCCATGGCCAGCAGGTCGCGTAGAGGTTGCAGGCGAGGCTGGTAACGACGCGACGGTGAAGTCGATTTGCTGCGAAAGGGTGACCCTTGAGTATGTCAAAGGACCGACAGCGAGCCTGACGTTGACTAAGGACTCTGTTTCTCACTCTACCGTAACGGTATGATCTCCATAGAAGCTGACGAAGTCTTGAGGGCTGATGGCAGCGGCGACAGCAATGGTCTGTGTCGTGATAGGGTCGGCAGGAATGGCGACCTCGCATTCACAATGCCTCTTGTTGTGCATGAGCAAAGGTAAGTTGCTCCAACGCTTTCACTTCCGAGAAGATCGAATTACGGCTTCGAAGGTCTTGCAAGAAGTCCGAGTGAAGAGATACCAAGAGAGTCGAGAAGAGTCAGAACGTTGATCTCGGAGCTGAGGGGGGTAGAGGGAAGGCTGTTCGGCGTATACAGGCGAAAAAATAACGATGTTCATCACTCAGCTTGAGTGGTCGTGAAAGACAGCGGCTGATCAAGGCATTGCGGCTGGTGTTCGTGTTGTCGTCAGAACGTAAGGGGGGATTGGCGTAGAACGACTGCTGGGCCTTCTTCCGCATCTAACGTGTCCTCGGATCTTTGGTCAACTTCGGTGTCACATCTGCTGATGCAAAGTCTTCAATACCGTTTCTCGTGATGGCTCAAACCAATCCGCTTATCAAATAAGAAAGTACTTACGTACCCTAGTCACTTGAGGTTCTCTATAGATTTGTGAGTCGAAATCATCAGACCAACACGACGTGGAGTCTTAATCTCGTTTCCGAGGCGGCGAATTGTCAACTCTTTGTCGGTCCGCGTTAGTAAGGATGTTTGCCAGAAACTGAGAGGCTCACCGTGTTACCCATTTGGCCGGAATGCATGCTGCTGCGGAATTGACGGAGGCGTAGCAAAAGCATCGGACACACTGACTCGTTGATTCGGGAAGGAAGCTTAGTCGGGCTACTTGATAATCCGAGGACGCGGGGACGACCACACACAGGTCGAGGACGACGACCACACACAGGTCGGAAAGGTTGATAACCACACGCAAGTCGAGGATGACGACCACACACAGGTCGAGGATGACGACAACACACAGGTTGAAAAGGTTGATAACCACACACGGGTCGGAAAGGCTGATAACCACACACGGGTCGGAAAGGCTGATAACCACACGCAAGTCGAGGATGACGACCACACACAGGTCGAGGATGACGACACCACACAAGTCGGAAGAGTGAATAACCACACACAGGTCGAGGATGACGACACCACACAAGTCGAAAGAGTGAATAACCACACACAGGTCGAATAGTTGGCGAGTAAACTTGCCCGGTATCGGTCAAAGTACCACTAAGGAGGTGTCAGGATGATTCCGGAATGCGAACATCTCCCTATGAAGACGCTGCCGTTGGAGAGATCTCTAGGTGAAGAAACGAGCTTGACCGAGAGACTTTGACGAGAAGACCTTGACGGAAAGATGTTGAAGAGGTGTTGTTGGACAAAGATTGTTGGAGAGATGTCGTTGGAGAGGCGTTGCTCGACAGGTGTTATTGAAGAGGTGTTGATGGAGAGATGTTGATGGAGAGATGTTGACGGAGAGATGTTGCTGATGCTTGCTTTTGACCTCGCCTTTATGTCTTGTGTCAGAAGACAATGGGGCTGCTTTGGCTTCGGCTGATGATGCCTACTAGACCTGAACAGGGTACGCAAAGGAAAATGCGTCTGACCCACAGTCCCCGGTGGTCCAGGCCCCCATCCGCTTCCACGGCAAAATGCCTTGCGGCAAGATGCCTCCACGGACAGGGGTGACGAGGTCGTCGTCAATGTCTCTTAAGTAGAGCCCTCCCAATGCTCCAGAATTTCGAGCATCGCCTCGCCAAAGCTGCCAAGGCTATTGTCGCCTTCTTGCTCCTCCTCCCCCTCCTCCTCCGCGGGCCCCTCTGACGCCGCCGGTGCAACTTCGGCTGCTGCTGCTGCTTCGCCCGCCTCCCTCAGCGACGAAAGGGCCGCATGCCCGGCTGCGGTATCCCTGGCAGCCTCGGCAGCCTCGGCCTCGTCGCGTTTGGCTTGGAGGTAGACTTCTTTGGCGAGGTTTTTGACCATGTCGATGGTAATCGGCTGGTCTTTTTCACGTTCATCTCCATGGAAAGATATGTCAGCCCGGGGGACAGATATAGGATACTGATTGTGTAAGAATAGAGATATAACTCACCGCGAACGAGGATCACCTTTATCGGGCGCCGGCGGTCCCAAACTGCCAGAAGGCCCACCAGAACGGCGGTGGCGGCAGCGGCAGCACAGAGTACCTCATACTAAAAGTGTACTTCGTCCTTTGTCCACTGCTCTTGGACCCACCATCGGTAACCCATCTTGTGCGTGTGTGTGTGTGTGTGTGTGTGTGTGTGTGTGTGTGTCGTTGTATGCTCGTGTGCTTGTGTGCTTGTGTGTTGTTGTGGTTGTGTGTTGTTGTGGTTATCATCGTCAACCAGGTAGTTACAAAGGATTGGGCTCAAGGAAGCAAATGCACATTTACTACAAAGATGGAAAGTTCGTTTTGCATAAGGCTACTTCTGCATGTCAATGGGCTAAGGCGGCAGGAAGGGACATTGGCAATGGATAGATGTCACTGGACTTCCCCCTGGATCCTGGATGGAATTGTGTAGGTACGGACTTGACAAGCCCCAAAACCACCTACCGGGGCAGTGACGGCCGCAGTCTGCATTTGGCACCTTACTTGTTACTTTTGGACCCATGAGTTGCGTCACTGACACCTCAGGAAGTTGCGACACCTTTGACCTTGCTCCAACCGTTTCCAAGCAAAGAGCAGTTGCAGTGTGACCCCTGCTTTCGAGTCAGAGGTTGGGTTTGCACCACTTGCCTTGGTTGAGCTGAGGACTTGGTTGCCGCCAGAATGGTGTTTGCTATAACCTTGATGATACGGACCCATGATCACTCTGCAAACTTTATCTCTCCATAATTTATACCTTGAGAGCGAACTTGGGCGGCGCAAAGATTGATTTCCTGGTGTATATATAGGCCCTCGACACTTGGACAGGGACAAGAATCAGTTCAGAGATCATCTTGCTGTTGTCATTCATAGAGACAAAAGCCTTGACTTGATCTCTATCGTCTTCGATGATTCTGCACTTCATGAATCCATTCTTTGTTTCTTGCAAATCCTCTGATGAGATGCAACGACCTGCCTTCACAACGCATATTTTAGTAGGAAGCCCCTCGACGGTAGACCTCGGTTCTCATTGCCCAAACGTACCTAACTAATGGTCATGTAGCTTTTCAGTGCAGCGTTCTTCCCGTACCGATGGAGTCATCCTCTGAGACTCGCTCGGTTTTGAAGTACCGGAACAATGACGGGATATTTCAACGCTGGGGTATTTATACAGGGCAGGTCGTAGGACCCAGACGAAGCCGGACTCGCACACAGACCTCCATCTTGCACAGACTTCCAACAGAACTCCTGTTTGAAATAATGGATCTCTTATCTCCAGATGATCTTTACTTTTTTCGACAGTCTTCGGCAATCTTTTTGCACGCCTTTTCCCACCGAACCTTTGCTAGATATCATAGTAAGGACTCACCTGCGGAGCCCGAAAGCAAGGACGTCGGAAAGTCCCTCATATCACGATTGATGACGGTCTTGATGGCCTGCCTACTGTTCTTGCGCCTGGCAGATTCGAAGAAACAAGAGGCCTCTATTAAAGGACAAATTCAACAAAAGAGACAGATGCTGATGCGATTCGACGTTCGGCAGCTCTCGTACTCAGACAGACAAGATTTTAGAAAGCGTGTCCAAAGGGGGGTTCTCTGCAAAGACTGCGCTTTGCGTGCGCCGAGAAGAAGGTACAAAGGTTTAATCTGTATCGACGCCTTGTTCTGCCTGTATTGCAGAACGAAGCACTTGAGATCTTGGTTCTCGGATGGAATGTCGACTCCAGAAACCCAGTTGTGCATCCCACGGGAAGGGAAGCTAATTATCTGCCCACACTATCAGCAGTCATTCAAAAAGATGTATAGGGACAAACTTACAACAAGATTGGACTCCGATGATTATTACATTCAATTATTTGAATGCCAGCTATGCGCCCCGGTGTTCAAGCTTGGTGGCGGAATGGCCCCTGGTATTTACATGACCCGTGGGACTTGGGTGCACGGTATTATCAAATACTATCAGCAACCTCTATTGATAGCACGATGGAAACTTCCCATCTGCAAGATCGGTCGAGGGGAGGTGCTCACCAAAGAGCGTCTTCAGCAATCTCTTCGGGGGCTACAGCCGCTCAGTCATTTTCTATGCCCTCACGTGGCTTTTGACGATACCTTTCTCATGCGGGCCTTCGAACAGGGATACTGTATCTGCTTCCAAAACCCCTCCGACCGGGGCAACATTTGGCACTGGCACAGTCCTGAAGTCTTAGAACTTTGCAGGTGCTGCGCGTGTCGTAATCGTTCCAACCCCGATTTGATGGGCAGATTCATGGCCGGCGGCAATGCATGTCGACATCTCGTCAGGTGCCCACGCTGCCCAACGGTTTATGAGTGGATTTTGGATGGGCGTCAGATCTTGCTTGAAAAGGAACAGTCCTCTTTGTATCTTTCCCTATATTCTAACAGCGAGGGTATTTTCAGAGTTCGACCAAAGTTCGGCCAGCTAAGTCTAGAGAGGTGGATCAGGTGTCTTGACCCTGTGACGTTCCGTGGCAATGAAGCCTCAAGGTTTCAGTTGTTTTGTATACGGGAAGGGTGTTCTAATGCTGTGCCTGAGATTTTGAGATGGGACAGGTTAGTTTGGGAAAGTCTCACCCCACCAATTATAGGAGACAATTGGGTATACTAGGATTGATTTACTTCATTTCATATCATCGCGCAACTTCAATGCTCGCCTATAAAAGAATCTTAGCTACATGTATACCGCACACGTCTCACCATTCAACTGAAAGCGGGCTTCTGATCAGCACCCTTAACATCGACCAAGTACGAAACTCGATCTTTGCAGTAGAACTCAACAGCAGGCTTCCCCTCCAAGCTCGCCTTTCCCTCGTCAAGCCCACCAGCCTTGATGCACGTGACGTCGGCCATCAAGTCCAGCTCGGTGTACAAGCTAGACCCGCAGTTGGAGCAGAAGAAGTGTCTGTTGTTCTTGCCCGAGTCCCCAGTGATGTCGTAGAACTTGGGCTCACCTAGATGATCAGGGTTTAGGGCATATTCAGGGAAGAACGTGGGGGGAGAGCCTCTCGTACCTTGGGTGACCTTGAAAGATGTACGAGGGACAACGGCGTTGGAGGTGAAGGCTGAGCCGCTCCACTGCGTTGAATTAGCTACATGTATTGGAATGATGAGAGTAATGATATTAGGTTTTCATACCTTTTGGCAATCTGTGCAGTGGCACAGGGCGGTGACTTGAGGGTCCTCTACTTCTTATCAGCGTGGTTCACTGGATGTTGCAATCAGGTCAACCTACCAGTACTCTCGTACTTGATCGCCTTGCACATACAGCTTCCCTTCAGACCCATTTTGTGCAGTGACGTATGTACCGTTCAGTATTAAAGTGTAGAAAAAAGTGTAAAGGATGTAGTGAAGTTGAGATGTTCGGAATAGGCTGACTTTAACCGTTTTGGACGAGGGGGGAATGCTCAGTACGGAACGTCCGATCGCCGTCTTTATACGTGTTTGAGAACTTCGGCTAGCGTTAGTCCCGGCAACAAGGAAGCTGAGCTTTCTCCTCTTCCTTCTCCTCTTCTTCCCTGTCTGTCATGATTAGAGCATTGGATGGGATGGAGATGTGCGGGGTTAGTTCGCTCGTTAAGGTAAGCACGGTAAGGGAATAGGTGCCGTGGAGAGATGCATGGGCCATCTTTCTTTCCATGCTGCTCACTTGCTCCATCTATCGGCCTCTTGATTAGATCTCCGCGGGGCGTTAGGCGAATCAAAACATTCGGGTCTTCTCCAGTTTGCCCTGCTTGCTGACAGATCACCGTGGGATGCAGAAATGACGATGTCGTCAATGCAAGGGCGCAAAAGATCAAAACATTCGTACTAGCTTGGAACTTTCCCCCAACAATTTTCGGAACATATATGTTATTACAAAACACTAGAAAGTAGTAAGTGGGTATTAGAACAAGATACTAGCTAAGGAATATTAGCCGCCTTTCTTAAGCCACCATCACTACCATAATTACTGTGCGCTTTCCAATGCGTATTCTATAAGGAATACATAAGAAATAGAAAATAATTATAGTAATAATAGTAGAAGTAATAGTAGCAGTGGCAATAGCAATAGTAGTAAAAGTAGGCCTAATAGAAATAAAGAAGGAAAGTATTTAATAATAAACTATCGTATTACTTACTTAACTAAATTAGTAACGTACTTATATAGCGAGCAGTATATTATAATAAATAACGCACGTCCTTATAATTCTACTCTTTTTATTTTTAAAATACTTTTTTTCTATATATAAATATATAATCCTTTTTAAATAAAAACCGAATTATCCTTACCCTCTAAGTTATTAAAAAAGACTTAAAAATATTTATATAAAGAGCTATTTTTATTTTTAAAATTTCTAAATTAACCCTCTATTATTAATATACTAAACGCGTTATATAAAATAAAATACGACTAGATTTAATAAAAATAACTATAATAAAAAGGGAATAATTCTTAAATAAGTTATTAACTTAATTAATTAAAGGTTCTTTTTATAATAAAAAAATATAACGTATTTATATAGCGAGCGGGCTATTATAGCGAGCGGGCTACTTTTATTATTATTTATACCTCTTTTTTTTATAATAACTTTTTTATATATATAATAATAAGTTCTTTTTTAAATAAAAACTATATTATCCTTATATTTAAAGTTATTAAAAAAGATTTAAAACTATTTATAGGAAAACCCGTTACTATTTATAATATTTTAAGAATAATATTTTAATACTAACGCGTTAGCTAATTATTATAATAAAAAATATATATAAGTTTAATAAAAATAACTTTTTTAAAAAGAAACCGTGATTTTTAAACAAGTTATTAACCTAATTAATTAAGGATGTTTATTATAATTTAATAATATACGAAATATAACTAATTACTTTTTTAATAAACGTAACGTAATATATATTAAATCGTAATAAATAAAGAATATTATATAATACTAATTATAACTAAAAATACGTTTTTAATATAAAATTAATTATTAAAAAGTATTAGCTAAGGATTTTATAATTATTTAAACTTAGTTTACCCTTATATAAAATACGATTATAAAATATAAAATATATAATAATAATATTTATAATTTTAATAAAATAGGCTTCTTAATAAGAATACTTTTATATATAAAAATTATTATAATTTCTAATTATTATAAAAGGCCTTATATAAAATAATTTAGTAATTATAAATAGGTTTTTATTATTTAAAATATATATATAAATAGCTAAGTACTATTTTTATATATTATTATTAAAAATAAATATTACTTTTTATTATAATATATTAATAACTAATTCCTTTTCAAATAGCGTATTTATTTTAATAAAAATAAATAGATTATAAATAAGATCGGCCTAAATTAGTTAGAGTATTTTAAAAATTATATAAAATTTTATATAAAAAGTATTAAGTAGCTCTTTATTCTTAATAATTATAATAATTATAAATTAACTAAATTTAATAATTATTATAAAAAGCATAGTATTATTATTTTTTATATACCTCTTTATTTATTATATAAGTTTTAGCTTTTTAATATTAACTATTTTAATTTACTAAAGGCTTTATATAATAAAAAAATTAAAAAAATAATACAAATATAATTATATATATTACTAAGGACGACTTTTTTCTTATTTTTAAAATAGTTTTTTTTATTTTAATAAGTAAAAAAAACATATAAACTAGTTTTAAATAAGTTAAAATTATACTTTTTAACTTAAAAATAGTTATTTTTATTTAAATTTTAAACTAAAAACGCTAATATTATTTAGCTTATACCTAAATAACTAGGGCTCCTAGGATTTAAAAATACTAATTATAATATATAATATTATATAAAGGTCTATTTTATTTAAAAACGGATTTATAACTATTAAAATAGCTTATTAATATATTTATATAAAGTTATTAATTTATAAATTAAAAATATTAATAAGTTAATATATAAACTAGCTCTTATTAAAGCTAAGTATTACGGGCTTTATATAATAAATAAAATATTAAATAAGTATTAGAGGGCTAAAAAAACCTAATTATATCTTAGGGAGTTATTTAATATTACTAAAGCTAAAATAATTTAAATAAAAAAGGGGGTAGTTAATATTAAAAATAAAAATATATATTAAAATAATACTTATATAAAGGGAGGTAAATTATATAAATAATAATATAATAATTATAAAAAGACTAAATATAACGTACGAATATATTAAGTAGTTTAGAAAATTTTTAAAAAAGAAGTTAATAAGTAGTTTTAATTAATTTCGTACGATATAGCTTAATTAACTTATATAAATAATAAGAGGGTATTTAGAAATAGCCCGCTCGCTATAATAGCCCGCTCGCTATATAAATACGTTATAAAAAATAGCTAATTAATTCCTAAATATATATAATAAGACGTATATTAAATTATAATAAATAGAGAACTTCGTATAATACGTCCCTAAATTAAAAATACAATTTTAATATCGAATTAATTATTAAAAGGCCTTAATTAAAGATCTTAATATTATATAAGGCTAGTTTATTTTTATATAAAATACGATTACGAAGTACGAAATATATAATAATAATATTTATAATTTTAATAAGACGGGCTTTTTAATAAGAATATTATTATATATAAAAATTATTATAACTTTTAATTATAATAAAAGGCTTTATATAAAATAGTTTAATAATTAAAAATAGATTTTTATTATTTAGGGTATTTGAATAATAACAACTAGGACTAAACGTACGATACCTTAAGAATAACTAAACTTTTATTTAGTTACGTAAATATTTTAATATATAACTTATTCTAATTACGTATAAGGATATATCCTAAAATACTTTATTTTTTATATAAACTTAGGAAGATTATTATAGAATAAAATTATTTTTTTAATTATTAATTTATTATTAAGATCTATATATATATCCCTCTAGTTTATGTAATATTAATTAGTAAATTATATTAAATAATTTATAAATTAGTTAATATAAAAAAAATAAGATTTAAGCTCGTAAATTAAGCCGTACGAGCTTTTTATACTTTATTTTCAAACTAAACTTATATTATTTTATTAATAAAACTAAATAAATAAGGGTTAAGATAACTCTTAATTTTATTTCTTATATAAAAAGGATTTTTTATTATTACTTAGTATTAGAACTAGATAGAGTATTATTATTATATAATTAGTAAGATTAATAATATATACTATTATATTACTTATTAAATATAATATTATATAATATAATATAATTACTATTTATTAGGACTATATTAGTATTACTTCCTAATCCTTAATTATTAAAGGGAAAAGTAATAAAATAAGCCTAATTAAAAATTAGAGTTAATACCCTAAGAAATAAATCCTTAATTAAATAAAAATTTAAATATTAAGTAATATAAACGTATAAAAATATTAATAATAAGAATATAATTCCTATAAAGAACTAAGTTAATATAATTAACCTAGCTTTTTAAAATAATTAAGTTAATCTCTATATAAATCTATTAAACTTATAAATAACTACTTATTTTATACGAACCCTAACTAATATTATATAACTTAACTTTAAAAAAAGATTATTAAAAACTTTATATTACGACTTAATATATATAACTAACCCAGAGGCCAGCCCACTAGCTATAGTAACTATAACATACTATATATATAAATAAAATAAAAATATAACTACTCCTCGCAAAACAAAAAAACTATAAAATAAATCACGTATTAATAAAATAAAGATTATTTTAAATTAAAATAATTTAATATAACTTAGGGTTTAAATAATTATTTTAAATTAAATTAATGAAAAATAACCTAAAGAACAAAAGATATATTTAAGAACGAGACTTATATATAATATAACCTCGAACTAAGTTTAAAAATAGACTTTTTATAACTTTTTTAATAATTAATTTAATATTAGATCTTATGATCGCTTTTAATTATTTTTATTAAGAACCCTTTTTAATAAAACTACGATTTATTATTAAAAACTTATTTATTTTATAACTTATAAATATAATTTTAAAAAAACTATTTATAATTATAATATTATTTACTTAGTATTTATAATTTTAATTTTTATTAATATACTTATTATAACTAGCTAGTTATAATATTTTAATTACTCTTATTTAATAAGTTTATTTTATAAAAAACTAACTAAATAATATAAATAATATCTTCTTATACTTTTATTAAATTACTTACTCCGACCTTTTTTATTTTTTTTAAATAACTTATTTAAAGCTTAGCTAAAAAAATAAAAACGGCCCTAATAAATATTAAC